ATTGGAAAGAAGACTTCCGGGGCTTCATTTTGCACTCAATTTTCATTCAAGAATCTCTTAAATCCGAGACCGGAGGGTGGAGATATGATTGGTTGAAGTTGGGCATCATCCCGGTTGGACCGAAACTGATAAGCCTTCACTAAAACAAGCATAAATTTTTTCACGGTTGGAAGTTTGATGCAAGGCTGGTGCCATTGGAAAGCTTACTTCCGGGGCTTCAATTTTGACACAAGATTGACCTGAAAAGGAGTTCATATGAAGAAGTTATGCCCGTTTGAAGTTGGACCTGCAGAGCAGATTTTTCCTGCGGACCGGCCAAAACAAATGGCCGACCGGCAAAATAGATAGCCGACCGGCAAGAAAAGATGGCCGACCGACCAAGTTTGCTAGCCGATGACCTTCCGGAGTATTCTACAGATTGAATGGATGCCAGCTGTGGCAGCTGGAATGCACAGACCCTGCTCCCCATGCACGTGTGTGGCTGTTTTGCACCCTTTACACACCCTTTGGCCCCTTTTCTTGCACCCTTTGCTCAAGGCTTCTTGAGGAAGCCTTGACCCCTTGTCTTGGCTTCCCCAAGAAGCTTACCAGCTGTCCTAGCTTCTCCAATAAACCTTGACCTCCCTTCAAACCCCTTTGACCCTTTGTAGCTTGTCTTAGAAGCTTAGTCTTGCCTATATAAGGGGCCTCTCCTCCTCCATTGTTTTGGGTTGGATTTTTGGAACAAAAAACCAGAGATATATAGATATATCTGATATATACATACATATATCCCTTCATCTCCCACTATATCTCTCCCATTCAACCACCAAACACCCTTGTTCTTGGGCCATTTCTTCATCAACTCATAGCACAAGGCATCCTTACTCCATTGCAGAAACTTGAGGCTATTCTTCAGAGCTTAGGAGCACCTAAACTTGGTCCAAGAGGTGCTGGTTTGCTGGTCTTCAAGGGTGAGTCCTCCTCTTCCCTTTTCTAGTCTTTTCTTGCTTCATATCTAAGCCATAGTTGCTTGCATTTTTGGGCTCCGACCCAAACTGTAAATCATCATATTTTGAGGTCCTCTTCATGTTTGATTGAGGACCTCTTGCTGTTTGAGGACAGTAGCTAGCACTTCCTTCATTAGCCCTCTTTATGCCATAATTTTGCATAATATTTTTGGCCTACGTGTGATCTGTTTTGGAGCATGATATAAAACTTGTAAATAGGCTTATTTTGAGCCCCTCTTAAACATTGAAAAAGGGCTCACACTGTTTGGGACCTCCATGCTATACTTGCCTTTATATTCCTCTTTGGTCCCCATTTTTGCATGTTTTGGCAGCCTATTATGCTTCGGTTTTTTGCCTTTTTACAGTACTAAAAATAGTCTTATTTTGCCCATTCTTCATGTTTCATTAAGGGTCTTTGGCCGTTTATGGAATATTTTGTAGACTTTGTGTTATAAGCCACTTTTGAGCCTCATTTTGCATTGCATTTCTAGCATGTTTGTATACTGTTTTGGGGTTTTTACAGTTCTGTAAATATGCATATTTTTGGTCCCTCTTCAATGTTGTTGAAGGCTCTAACCTATTTGGAGTTAGCAGCTGTGAGTTGCTTCATAATCTCATGTTTAGGGCCATTTTTGCATGCCATTGTTGCCCTATCTTTGCTTGCTTTGGCCATGATTTGTACTGAAAAAAATGCTTAATTTTGAGGCTGTCTTGCTTCTGTCTTTTCATTCCATGTATCAATTATGCATGCTTTGTATAGCTGTAAGCCATTTTATGTACCTAATGTTGCATTTCGGTTTAATTTCATGCATCGGGTGTGTTTTCGCCTCATTTCGGGGCTGTTTTTCCCCACATTTCAGTGCTGAAATTCCATTATCATGTTTGCATATCATTTTCCATGCCATTGCATTGCGTATGCCATTGCCTCGGTTTGCGTGCCTGTGTGCACGTATTTCGAGGCACTTCATTTTTCATCCATCGGCCTCTTATGTGAGTGTGGCTGAGGCTCTCTCATGTTAGTATAAGTCCATGTTGCATTCTATATGCCATTTTAGCCATTGCATTGCATATGCCATTGCCTCGGTTTGCGTGCCCGTGTGCACGCATTTCGAGGCACTTCATTTTCATCTTATGGCCACTGATGTGTGCGGCTGAGGTCCACTCACATTGGTGTAAGTCCATCTTGCATTGTGTATGCCATGTTTCAATACGTTGTGCATGTTATGTTGTTAGCATTGTGTGTGCCATGTAGTTATATTGCATGTTTGTACGTTTGTCGCATGCTTAGGTCGCATGTGCATTGTTGTGCATTGCCTCGCCTCTTGACAAACCATGATTGAGGTTGGGTCCCTTGTATGTTTTTGTGTGCATTGCATTTGACATTGAAATGCATACTTGACTCTTTGGCCATCAGCATCGAAATGCGTGATTGGTGGCCCGAGGGTCGAGGGCCATGTTCCCTTAAGTCCATTACATGATAGGGAGTGTGTCCATGCATACATGTGCCTGAATCCTATGCCATATGCTGTCTATTCTCTGTTGCTGTCAAAACTGTCTTCTGCAGGGAGCTTCTGCCGACCGGCATAATTTAGTGCCGACCGGCACTTTTTGAAATGCGGTGACCCAATAAACAGCCGATGGAAGTTGTGAACTGCCGGTGGAATTTCCCCTAGCCGGTGGTGCTCTGCAGCATGCAAGGAACCTGTCTTGGAGTTTTGGCAATTTTCAGAGAGACAGGGCAGTATAAACAGAGGTGGCAGTGTTATGGTACGGCTTTCCGGGCGAGACGGATCCGAGCATGCATCACTCACGCATCCCAAGGCAGGGCTGCGGCCACTTTCTTGCTGCATTTATTTTGTTAATTAATTAAGGGTCTGTAATAATTAATTAGCTAGGATAGTCGATTTATTATTCGGACTGTATTATTCTTTTGGTCCCTCCGAGCGAGGGCAAACTTGTAATAAGTGTGGGTGCGTATGTGCATGTTTTCAACCCCCACTTCTTTCTCCCTTTTTATTTACCCGCTTATGATGGTAGACTAGGGCATATTTAAATTAGCATAACAGTATGATAGCATGCGTGCATCCATACATCTGTCTTACATGTACCGGGCTCGACAACATCATGCTAACTGCACTTGTATTTCAATTCCAAGTTGAGAACTTGTTAGTTGCAGCATTTCACATGCCATCTTTAGGATAGCCGAGCCTGTTTAGATTGCATCTTCGCATGTGTTTGCATTAGCCATTTTTAACATGAACTAGGATCATGCATATGATTACTGACTAGTTTCTGTTTAGCTCGGAGTACTAGGTAAGCTTTTATGCTTTAGCATATCGCATGCGTGTGAGGTGTTGCCATGACAGTATGATTACCATGAGGCTAGCTGCTTATGTGATATAAACTGCTTGAATGCCTGTGGATGGAGGTTGAATTACCTAAATTGGAATAATGCATTAAAACTGTGAGTTTTAAGCCCACTAGATAGTGGCAAAATCATCTTTTCTAAAAGCCCACTTAAGGGTGGCAAAATCTGCATTTTAGCCTACTTGCGAGTAGCAAACCATTTTCAAAACAAACATGAAATGTTTTGTTTCAATTTGGGCGATTTGGTCTATACTTGTTTGCTGCGCGCATAACATAGTAATTCTAGGCTAACAATTGGTTTAAAGAACACATAAAGTTTTCAAAAACGGATATCACGGTTAGTAGAGGCCGGTCTTCGGACCGGGCGAAAGGGGGTGCTCATAGCTGACCTTCCCGATCGTACCAAGTTCCCGAGCGAGGCAACTTTGGTGATGACGACACGTGGCCTTCGGCACCCGAGTCGGGTTTCCTAAAATTTTCCCCATTTTAAAATATTTGGAGGTGGCGACTCTGTATCTGGCAAAGCAGTCCATGTTTGGCACTTCTTTTTCTAAAAATCTGTTTCTCAAAACGATTTGCCGGATTTGGACTCTTTGGTTCAGATTAAGAACCGTGATACAAATCGAGTCCGAACTGTAGTAGCGAGGTCGCCCTCCGCGGGCGCGTGCTACAAAGGGGCTTACTTGTACGGAGTGTTGCAACATCAGAGCGAAATTTTCATATTCACTGACCTCGGCGTTGCGTTTGAGGTCTTTTGGGTAGAGCAATGCAGTAGAGAGGACAACGCCGACTTCAATGTCAGTCGCACTGTCACCAGCTCTGACTAGCTTGTCCTCGATGGTGATTGGAGGGGCCCATGGGGCATCGGATTTCATGGACCCCGAAGTGGTCGCTGACTCTGACCTCGACTTCTTTGACCAGGTCGATTCAGAGGGAGCAACTTCTGCAGCTCTCTTCTTGGTGGCCGAGGCACTTTTTTTTTGCCTCAGTCATTTTTGAGATTGGCAAGGTGTCCTCAGAATCAATCTGAGTCATCATTGCCTTTGCTTGGGCTTTTTTCCGCCTCTTTGGCTTCGGCTTGGGTTGAGACTGGGAAGATTGGACTGTGGTGACATCGGGGATGTCGGCAAGAAGGTCTTCGACAACGGCCTTTTGTCGCCCCATTTCGTCGGAGGAGATGGCAATGGTAACTTTAGTACCAAGGTGAATTGCTGGTAGAGCTTTTGGTGGGTTGGCTGGATCGTATGATGACGCCTCAGCACTTCAGCGTCATTGGCTTCGAGTCCTGCCTGTTGGAGCTTGCAGTGGAGCTTGATGTCGGCGTTGGCGTTGAGAAGGTAGAATCAGCTGCGGAGCTGAGGTATTGTGTTGGGTGATTAAGGAACATGAGGGGGCATATTGAATGATGATTAGTTAGGGAGTACAAACACGTGATACTCCGGGAATATTGAATAATTTCCTACTAGTCATTTTTTTTTTCTCCTTCCTTTCTTTCTTTTAAATAATTAATGTATTTTCAACAACAAAAAAGAAGACTAGAGAATTATGAAAATCTCGAAAAATATAAATCTCAAGATTTGGTATTGGAAAAATAGAAACCAAATGGCAAACTAAAAATAAAAGAACAACATAAGAGAATAATAGTAAAGAAATAACAAATTCAAGGCTTTACATTGTCACGTATCGGATTGTAACCATTATAGTGAATCATTACATTCCAATATAGGCCATAATATTTTGTTACAGGCCGATACACCTCGATACACTCTGTTAATCAATTTTAAAATATTATAACGGTGACATCCGATTCCTGATATGTATCACCCGATACTCTTGATATCAGTATTTCGTGATCGATATCATTACAATGTGTTGATACCATGATTTAGAATCATGCTAAGACGTGATCCAAGATCACTTATGGTGAATAAAAAATAGAAACCAAGTGGCACACACACTCGGAAGAATAAAAAAGAACCACAGGAGAAGAGAACACATGAAACAAACAAATTCATCATGGCTTTGACAAGTTGCCATAATTTATTATGAGCCTCCAAATTAACATAGTTAATTGTTAGGAGGAGGCAATGGAACTGAAATACTGGGGTTGATGGAGACAAGAGTGAGGAAGTCTTGGTCACAGAGCAGTTTGTCCATATGACTTTGAGGCAAGAGTATAATTGCTTCTACTCCATCTCCTGATTTGGTATCCATCAAAAAAATGCTATTTGAGTACACCAAGCCATTTCCATCTCGAACAGGATTAACAATCCAGAAGAGAGGCTTCCCCCATCCAAAGTCGACATCGTAGAACCCTAAACCACACCAACTATTACACGTATATAGATCAGGTGTTTCATCCGAATACATGTTTCTCAACTCATCTATAACTCCACTCGCAACGGCAAACCTTTGGTCTCCTTGTAAACTTAGAATGAGGTCGCCATTAATTTTCTGTACGGCTCCTCTCAGTAACTCCACCGTGCTACGTAGCTCTGTTGCTTCTTCTTCCCTACGGTGTACCACTGTCCTCCACACGATGTTTCCAATCGAATTCTGCGACATTGGCGGCACCATTTTGGGTCTCATGTTGACTGCAAAAAGCATTGCATTTGGTTTTGGGGAGCCCAATAATGATGTAGATGCAGAGACAGCACAGTTCCATATGAAGCTAGCCACAACTTGGAACCGAGTTGGATTGGGCACAGCTTTGCTAGCCACCTTGGATTTTAGTACAGATATTGCGGCACCATCTATCACGAATCTCCTCGATACTCCACTTTCTTTTTTATGATACCACTTTTGATTGAAAATAAATGATGCCAGTTTCTCTGGTGGTGGCGATTGGGAGTCACTTTGGGGAGGGAAGAGCGAGGCTGCATTGATATTGGGGGGGTATGAATCTGATTCTTTGCCCGGTGGCCTGCTTGCAATGGCTGCCCAGCAACTGAGGAAAGCCTTTAGGGCGGCTGCGTCGATGATTTGGTGCGAGAAGTATAAGCCGATACATATTCCCCCACAAGTAAATATGTTTACTTGAATAATCATTTGTGCGGCATCATTCAGTGTCTTAATTGGAATCGGAATTTCTACTTTTGGAAGAAGGCGAAAGACTAAATTGTTGGTATCGGGGGGATTGAGAAATTCAGACAATTGACAGTTAACTTTGGCTTGTGAAAAAAGAACACCCTCGTCGTTACAATCGATTGAGAGATGATCTTTAATCCGCCCTGCAAGGGGGTAGAAGACCGACAAGGCTTTGGCCAGAGAATCCTTAAGGTTTTGCAATGTTTGGTTAGCATTGATGGTGGGGGAATAGAAGATGGCTGCTGGAACATAAAATGGAGGAGTGATCTGGTCTAAAAGAGAGATTGAAGGTTTTTAGGTGGGAAGGTGTTGGTGAAGACGGCTTGATGGTTTCACTGGAAACTATTTCAACATCAAACACATCCATATTCACCCTTTTTGCTGTCTAACAGGGCATGCCCTTTTTAAAATGTGATCACACCTCGTCTCTCTCTCTCTCTTATTCTCTTGAGAAATTATTCGGTGCACTCTCCCTCACTGCCTTTTCTTTCTTTGCTCTTTCTAGAGCTCTCTTTGTCTCAATTTTGAGTAATCACAAAACTACCCACCATTTTACCAAATTACATAAACTATATAAATAAACATATTTTACTTATTTTGGGAAATTCGATTCCTGGTTTGGTTCAAGCCTATGGTAGTCATGAATATTGGATAAGGGATGTTGTGAGCTCTCTCGATTTTATCTTAGAACTGTTTCACTTCGGTTGTACCTTTACGAGGGGAAAGAAAAGCAGTTGGATGAGTGATTAGTTTTTGGAAAAATTATCCCTAAGTTTGGTTGGAAGATTTGGAAAGAAAAAAAAATAAAATATAGATAAAATGTGAATAAAATATACTTACATTTTATATAATTTCACAGACCATTTCTTTTATGTTTTCATTTCCAAATCTTTTTTCAAATTCTCCAATCAAACACAACGTACATATCAATTAGATGTTTATAAAATATTTACAAGTTAGTGAAAAATATTATAAATTTAATTATTAATATTTATAAATTTTACCACTAATTTTAAAATATTTTTAAAAAGATGTCCTATGTTGCAATTCCCCCCTTAGTGTTTTCACTTATGTGAGTATCTTCCTCTTGTATTGTACCTCGTGTTGAAATATTTTAATAAAAACAAAACACAATATTTAACTTTAAATTATTTTTTATCCAGTTTCAAGATTCATATATCTTAATAATCAAATATTCTATTATAATATTTTATATCAAATCATTACATTCGATGTGCATTAGTTTTTACTGTCTTACAAAAATTATTTCTCTTAAATGGTTTTTCTCTCTTCTTTTTTTCCGATCGTTCCGCGTAGGGGGGAGGGGGACCTATTGAAGGTCAATTTCTGTGCCGACAGTGCTTCAATCCAGTCGATCTGGGTTTCTTTTTCGGCGTTGACTTGGTTTCCCCTCCCCTTGGTCTCATTGGTAGATCTGGGTTTAATCTGCTTTTATAGGTGTTTTCCGGTGGGATTCCGGTGGTCTAGTTGCTGTCCTCTTTTGTGTTTTCCGACGATTTCTGCTGCTTGTTTCCGCTTCGTGGATCAGGTGTTTCACGGCAAGACCACTCGTTTTCTAGGGATTTTCCTGGTGAGCTTTCAATTACACTTTCTAGGTGCTTGGAACAATGCTCCAGCAAGGCTTTTTACTTAACTCTAAAGTGGTCCCCAAACGCCTTTCCAAAGAAGAAAAAGGCAAATGCATTGTCATGTTAGGGACTTGTGCTCAGGATAAGTTGCAGGGTTCCTTATCCCCTGACTTATTATCCGTTTTGGACCCGTTGGACATGGCTCTAATTCAGGATTCTCTGGGTGATGATTTTCAATTTGATTGGGATGCTACTTTGGAACATCTACAGCCTAAACTGAGCTTGGATGATACAATCTTTTCACTGCCAAAAGGCCGTGAACAACCTGGGTCTTCTAATACTGGTGTTGCTGTTGAACCGGGTGGTCATTCTTCAAGTAAGGATCATGGACCAGGAAATCGAGCAGGGTGGGTTTGTGGCAATGTCATCAGAGAGGGGCCTCACAGTGGGTTTGGTTGCAGTCAGAATAGTGAGGTTGATGTGTATGGTACTTCGCTCAACAAGGCTAATAAGCCCATGCCGAAGGTCAAGCGTCCAAGAAGAGTGCATTTGGGCAAGGATTTCCTCCTCATTGATCGTAACTCGTGTCAGGCTCTTCAATCTGGTGGATCATTTCAGTTTTTGCACCGACAGAGTTTGTTGGTTGTTGAAGTTCGCATTCGTGGATACTCTGACCCAATTCTACAAGCTGCAGTAGTGGATATTGAGATGGAGGCCCCATCCCTGGACATTCTACCTACTCCTTCCCAATCTTGTGAAAAGCCACTACAACCATCACCACCAAATTTGCCAACTCTTCAACTGCCTTCCTCGGTTATTAGTGATTGTGAAATGGAGGAGCAAGAACCGACTTCTGGAAAAACTTCTTTGTCTGATAATTTTATGTTTTGTAGCGTAGGTCGGTCAAAAAGAATTCGTGCTCCCATACCTCGCCGTCCTAAATCCTCTAAATTGATCTTCGACATTGCTGCTGGTAAACGCAAGCGGGAGCCACGAATTGAAGATTACTACTCTCATCCCAGTCTTTTCAGGCCACCTCGGCGTCGAGCTTTTGGACTAGGCTAGGGACTCTTTTGGCGGTGCTTGTTTATTCTACTTTTATTTGTACTTATGTTTACTATAACTTGTAATGATGTTATCTTGCTTATTAATCTATGGTGATTTCATCGTTCTCAAAAAAAAAATTATTTCTCTTTTAGTTATTGTCTTGTAAATTACACTATTAGTCAGTCCCTTTTAGTTGGCATGGAATTTTATTTTAGTAGTTTTAATTTAGGGTAAAATTTATTTTATCCTTTTATGATTTGACTTTAAAGTATTTTACCCTTTTATGATTTAAAATACCCTTTTATGATTTTAAAATGGGGTTTTTTTTTAAGGCCCCTCGTATTAACATTTTATAGCATAAAGGATATCTAATATTTTCATAATGTCTAAGGTCCCTCAAGTTGATCCAGAGAAAATTGGTCCAGAGAAAATTAGCTCAGAGAAAATTGGTCTAGAGAAAATTAGTCCAGAGAAATTTTAAATTTCTCTGGCCTTCTTAGCCTTTCATGGACTCTCCAGAGAAATTTCAAATTTCTCTGCCGTGGGTTTGATCCTCTACCATTGTTGCTACTGTTGTTACCATCTCCACTGCCATTTGTATTTCCTGAACCAGTTTCCCTCTGAGTTCGATTCTCGTAATCAGGATCATCTGTCGGCAACTCATACCGACAAACCGGGCACGAATTATGCAATTCTAACCACGGAACAATGCAATCAGAATGGTAAACATGTTTACAAGGCATTTTCTTAACATCCATACCACGCTCAAAATCATCTGTACACACAGCACACTGAGCCAATTCAGAACTCAACAATCCATCATCAACAGTAATGGTCGGAAGCGAATTCACAGCAGACTTCGAAGCCGGCGGTGTTCCGTATCGATTCAGATCGTTCTCGGCCAATTGCTGAATCAATTGCTCGAGCCCTAGGCCGACGAAGTAATCGCCGAGGTTAGCCGGAAGCTGAAACCCTTGCTCCGACAAAGGATTGTTGGCGACAACGAACTCGATGTTGACACTGCTAGCGGCGAGAGCGAAAAAAGACAGGGAAGAACTACAATTTTTGAGTCAAATTTCTCTGATATATGTTTAGGGACGTTAGACATCAAAAAATAATTTTGTGGATCTCTTCCATTACAAAAAGTGGGAGAGGGACCCTAGACCAATTTTCCCTTTAAAAATAACTATCTATTTTATCCCTTTATGATTTGACTTTAAAGTATTTTACCCTTTTATGACTTAAAAATAACCAAAGACACCTCATGTGATTTTGATCATTCTGTACTTTACCTTCTTATCGTTAGTAATTCCGTCAAAATTAACAAAATTTATATATCCTTATTAATTTCGTCGAAGTTAAGAAAATTTGTAGAAGAGGCGTGGGTTTTGGGATTTGGGGGTTGTTTGGGGTGTCCTAAATAAGTGCACTTTTTGTCTTTTTAGACTAAAAAATTGAGAAAAAAAATATGGATGTTTAGGTTAACTTTTTGACTTTTTATGGAAAAATGTGTATTAAAAAATTGTATAAATTAGTGTATAGGGAAAAATTAGGATTGAGAGTTGTGCAGCCGTAATTTTTGACTTTGGGTGAATAGTAATAATTTTTTAACTTTTTGAGTAACTTTTTGACTTTTCTTCAACTTGCCAAACTTGGCCTTGGTATGACTAAAACATTCAATCAAAATCAAATTTCATAGTAAAAAGACATATTTATCCTTTTTCTCTTCTCATTCAAGTTAAAAAGTTAGTTTTTAGACTTTTTTACCTCTCATCACACCCACCACCTCTACACCCCATTGCAACCTAAGATTCTAAAGTTTCGTTTGACATTGATAATGGTAGTCAACTTTTTTGTGTTAAGACTTTTTAGCCTGGCTTTTTTAGCGTTGTTTGGTTTTTGTTTTTGGGATTTTTTGACATTCATGAGAGAAAAAGTGTAATAATTATGGTTTGGATGTGATATTTTATCTTATTGACTTATATAATCTTTTTTTTTATTTACTTTTTCAGTCCCAAAATAAAAACCAAACGAGGACTAAGAATCGGTTGGTCTCACCTTGGTTGTCATCTCCTAATCGATCAATGCTTCAAAGAGCTTTAAGGTAAAAAATGACACGTGGGCAATAATAAAGAAATTATCCATGCCTACTTATCTATTTACGCGTTAAGATCCTCTAGAGTGATCTCCTAGAGTGATCCATTCAAGGGTTGAGATTCAGCCTTACCAAAATGACGTCGTTTTGGTGAGTAATTTAAAAAAAAAGAAAAAAACAACAACAAAAAACACAAAAAAACAAATTTTAAAATCCAACAGATATAAAAAGAGAGAGAAGACGCTGTCTCCCTGCCTCCCGACGCCCCTCCGCCGTCGCAGTCCTGCCGTCAATAGACTTCCTCACAACTGCTCGACGCACTTTCCTTCTCTCCCGGCAACCCCTCCCCATCTCTCCTCTCCTCTCTTCCGAAAAGAGTTAATATTGAATTTTTTTTGTTTTTGTTTTTGTTTTTGTGGAACATCAGAGAAGGGTTTTTGATGTTTTCGAGAGGGTTTTAAGGGTTTGAGATAATGCTAAGGAAAAGAAGCATATCACAACAGAAAGATCAATAACAACACATGGTGTCTGATGCTAATCCTGAGTTCTATTTTCAATTTGATGTTTTGGGTTTGAAAAACAAAAACAATTTCTTTTTCAATGTCCCTGGTGTGTTTGTAGGGTTCAACCCTAAAGTTTCAAATGCTGATTCAGTTTGGAGCCCAACCTCTCCATTGGATTTTAGGATTTTATCAAATCTAACCAACCCCTTTAGGTCCCCAAGATCATCATCCCACAAGGGTAGGCATCGAAAGAGGTGGGATTGCAATAAAGTAGGCCTGGGCATTATTGATTCTCTTGATGATG